GTCTGTGTGTGTGTGTGTGTGTGTGTGTGTGTGTGTGTGTGTGTGTGTGTGTGTGTGTGTGTGTGTGTGCGTGTGTGTGTGTGTCTGTGTGTGTGTGTGTTTGACTTGACCCTTTAAATACCCTTCCCCCTTCTTCTGCGATCCATATATTTTCCTTTTTCTTCATGGCCTTGTGATCGCTCAGAAAATGTTCTTGCTCCCTGCTGACTAAAATGTAATCAGGCACCTCTGTGTAGTTTAACAGCGCAGTATCAGTGATTCATACGACACCAGTCCTTATTGTATCCTGTCTGTACTGTAGGAACAGTAAAAGAAGAAGGGCTCAGATAATTATCTACCTTCCTAGGACTGGCTTTACTGTATACACAAAGAGTGCTGAATATAAGGACAAATGGGATGGACAAAATAACAGAAATTCCACAAAGTAAGAATCTCAACCAAGTCTCCTAAGGAAATACTTTCATATTAGTTGTCACAATGCCAACCTCCAAGGACAAAGCAGGAAGTAGTTTGCTCTGTATGTAGCGAGTGTGAAGCTCAGTTTGGTGAAAGTCCAAGTCCTTCAGTCAAAATGTAACTTTTTCATGAACCATAACCACACTCTTCTTGCACCATAACATCGTGTATTTGCCGTCACCCCAACATGCCCGAACCTCAACCACCTCATAGTTGCCATGCACAGATGTTGTAGTGATAGAAATGTTTTCGGACGCACTGAAAGGATAGTTTTTGTGCATAATATTCAGGGCTTTGCAGAATTGTCATCGACATTCTTGTACAGTCATAAGGTTGCAGAACATTAGATCTTAACTTTGCAAAAGCGTTCAAATTGACACGCCATTGGCAAACCTCATCATGTGCTCACAATGAGGCCAGTCCTGTCTGTTATCTTTTGAGGCCGGTGATACTGTATTTGTTTTGTATATATGGTGCTCTAGTGACTTGCAGCATTTTGTTTTAAAAATGTGAAAATATGTCACAATTACACCTTTTTAAATGTTTCAGACTCAAAAAAGCCAAATTGAAGCCTCTTTAGAGCATGTTCTTGTTCCCCTGCTGACAAAAATGTAATCAGGAACCCTTTTGTTGTTTTAGAAATGTAGTATCTATAATGAACTACTACTACTATTTTTTTACAGATGCAAGTCCTGAACAGTTTGGTCTGCTGAGGTTGTAAATAGCAGCACAGATTAATGACTTTTATTGTCACCGATTAGTTTCTTTACTTAATTAATTTGTATTCAATTAACGCTATCTTCGTCCACAATAGATGCCTGACATTTCAGAGCGATGTGATTTACTGCATGTCTTCCCTGCCCGTTTGTCCTTGATCCAGCTTGATGATGATGCCGTTTCACGACCAACCCCTGTTCATTGAATGCCTCTTGCTATAGCAACTTATTTGGATTTATGAAACTACCAGACCACAGATGTATGGGAATGTTATTCATAACAATGTTTTTGTAAAATCTCTGAATACACACAGTAATTACATCCAGAGTCAAAGCAAGTACGGCACCTTTACCCCTGAAGCGCATAAGCCTGAATATACATTTGATTCACAACATACAGTATATTCTACATGCGCATAAATAAACATGAGCCTTGTATTATTTTCTGTCTTAATACATCTTCTGGGCCAATAAGTAATGTTTGTGTTCCTGGCGCTGGTGTGTGATGTAATCTTTTATTTACATATTGCACGTATCATTTTTCATCCTGTCCATCGGCACATAGTAAGAGAATTCCCCAGTGCAGTTTGGGGTTTCTCAGAATATGCATCAGGAACTCCCAGTCAGAGGAAGTGGCTCTAACTAATGTGCTTATTTGGAAATTAAGCAGCCAGAACCCCCCCTTCTTCCTTGGCAGTAGACTCCACGGTTGCACTGTTTTCTATTAGGATTTTCCAACTCTCTCCAACCCTGTTTCTGTTGGTCTCTTTCAGACCTTTTAAATTGTATTTTTTCCCCCTCCTTGTGTCATATACCTTGATTTCCTTCCCTCTCTCATCCTTTAATTGTTGTACTTTCAGTCATTACCTCATCCTCTTTAATTGCCTCCCTAAACTTCGATTGAGACGTGTTTCCCTTTCTGGACATACCTTTCCTTTCCATCACTCTTTCCACTTTCTAACCGCTCCCTCCATCTTCCTGCACCCCTCCACCCTCGTCCTAACTTCCCCTCCATCTCCTCTCATTCTCCATCCTCCCCTCCTGCACCTCCTCTGTAGTGGTGTTGTGGAAACGCTGCTGCAGTGCGCTCCGGGCAGAAAAGTAGGCCAGTATTACTCTTGCTGGCTTGTCCCCAGTGAAGCGTGTGTTGCATGTGTGTGTGTGTGTGTGTGTGTTTGTCTGTCTGTGCATGTGTGTGTGTGTAGGTGTGTGTTCAGGCCTGGGAGAGAGTGGGCATACAGGCTGGCCAGCCAGCAGTCGGGGTAGAGCTGGGCATATGGAGCCTCAGTATTGGGCCAGCAGGTATTTTTCAGCGTCTGCTCTCTCCGTCTTTGTTTAATATTTCCCTGCTTCTTGGCGTCCTGGCCGCAGAAGCCTGTTAGTGCTGCCAGCACAGACGCTCAGTGCGGTAGAAACTCAGATGGAATATTACTTCTGTCAGGTGGACATCATGTACATAAACATAAAAGAAAACATGGTTTGGACAGGATCCTATGGTAGGTTTATGAGAGCTAACTGGAAATAAGCACGCAAACTCCCAGTTTGAGAAAAAGGGAGAAAATGACCAACACTTGAAGTTATGAGGATTTCTTGGAGCATAAGTAGCGATACAATTAGGAACCGCTTTGGAAATGTCTTTGACTGTAGCAAGATGTGCAAGGCATTGTGTTTTTTCAACATTGGATCATTTATTTTTTTAAATCTGCGACTACACACAGAGAGTTTTTGTCACAGGTCATTGTTGAAATATATCTCTCGAACCTTAAATATTAGAAAATATCTTGAGCTGTGTTTGACACTGGTGATGTAGGCAGGCCAAGTTGATATGTCCTTGTGCTTTAGAAAAGCTATACAGTAAAACTAGAGATCAAATAAAAAAAGAAGTTGCATTTTAGTAAAACTTAAAGGAAAATGAAAATAACAGTGCAGGGCAAGATACGTATAAGTAAATGGGCTCTGACAATCTGGCTTTATTCTTTAGTTGGATACTATGAGATCTTGATAATTGCCTCGCACGCACGCACGCACGCACGCACGCACGCACGCACGCACGCACGCACGCACGCACGCACGCACGCACGCACGCACGCACGCACGCACACACACACACACACACACGCGCACAAAGTCCTCATTTTCAATCCGCACCGCCTCAAACTTAATTGTTCTCTTAATTAGGTTGCAGAGCAGTGCTTATGGCTGCAGGGAACATGTGTACGTACAGTAAATGTGTGAGGGTGTGTGTGCATATCTGTGTATCCATGTAAAGATACATGCATGCGAGTATGTGTGTATACATGCATTTCATCACCTCTGTGTATTGCATGGTATGCCTGGAGCTCTGATGTGTGAGCACCAGTAGCTCCGCGGAGAGCCATGCATGCCAAAACCCAAATTCCCCCGTACAGCCTAACACTCACCACCCCCCCTCCCCCCCCTTGAACATTATCTACCCTCGCTAGTATCGCTCTGCACAACCTTACTCTCAAATTGTTTGGAGTTGCTTTTGTGCACAAACAACCTGCATGCACTGTTTTTCCTTTAAAGCATATTATAGTGGCCTACTTACATACCTCTTTTTACTTGCATTTCTTCTGATCTTAGGTGTAAGAATGCCCCTTTTTTGTATCAAGCGCCATGCATGATGTTAACGTGTCTCCATTTAAAGCAGCACATTATTTTTTCTTCTTCTGTGCCTTTATTTTAACAACCCTAAAGCCCCCTATTTGCCAGACACAGGTTTTTCTGTAAGATATTTGGGGTTGGCAACAGTAACGGAAACTCAGTAACATCAATGAAGGACAGAATAACATCAAAGCATATGTGGAAGAAAATTGTGAAAATCTTTTTGTTTTCATTCCAGGAAATGTCCACATGGCATGTTTGATCCCCACTTTGACGAACACCATCTCCTTCTGAGATTCATCCTCAGAGCTATTTGAGAAAAGCCACCTTACCCATTTAAGAATGCCAACGTTACCTGGTTGGATAGGTTCGCGTGCCCCTCCGGTTGGTCTCAGGTGAGGGGGCCGGACTGAGAGCCCTTCAAAGACATCAATGGAACAATGCATGAGGGAAAGAGGAACCTCACCTGGACTCCAAGGGACACCGGAGCCCTGTGCAACCAGGCCGGAGCAGAGCTGACTGTGACAGTGCCTTCTAGTGTCTGGGCTCGTACACATGAGATCTGGTCTTACTCACAGCTGTATAATATACACCACCTCCAGTAAGGATAGGTGTAGCAACCTGGTGCCTTGTGAGTTGGGTAGTACGCAAAGCCAGGGTTCGTGCATCGTGGGTCTTGGGATGTGGATTGACAACTTTTAGGTAATAAAGGAGCCAGAACTTGAGGCAGAAGAATTTAGTTGGTTCTACGTCAACCTTAAGCTGAAATCAAAAATCCAGAAACTTGACCCTGTTGGATCCCGGAGAGGAGGATGATGTCGCTAAGTTAAACCTTGACTCTGATTTGAAAAAGGCAGAAGAAAATGAATGAATAGATGGTTGGACTTCATGAGGATTAGTGACAACTGAAGAGATGAAAACAACTCACCACTTTCCTCAAGGTGAGAAGTTTGTCGTCTTCTATACATGTGTCACACAGCTGCATTCAAATCCATACTCAAGTCAAGTGTTCTTCCCTCAGCACAAGGCCTATCAAGAAACTCCTTGGAGACGATATCCACAGCAGATCGCCTTGACTATGAAGACTAATATCAGGTGAGTGCTTCCCTTTAACCAACACTTCCTCCATGAGTTTAGAGATATCATGAATCTCGTATGGATTTTAGTCGTTCCCACAAGATTAATCCTGATATGATACTGTAGGCCACAGCTTTTGTGTTTCAATAAATGTATTGAGAACATTCAGACTCCCCTGAAGCTCTTATTTCTAATAATCATTTCTCTACTGCCCCCATCCAAACAAACTGTACATTATTAGCCCCAGAATTATCAGCATTTTAATAAAGCAATCAAATGAAAAGGTTTATTAATCAGCCGCCATGTTTGTTGCTCTGGCAAAGACCAGTACTGTACTTAACATTCGGAACGACTGTGGGCAAGGTAGATTCCGAAAATAGGACAAAATAATGCACTTAAATGTACTTACCCTATTTTAAAAATAAACAGGCTACTTTGAGCAGAATTCAAAAGTATTCAAACTGCGCCACGATTGGCTTTTGCTATTCAGGACACAACTGTAACCTGAGAACAGTTAAAACAGATTATTGAACCAATAGCTGTTGCTTTCTGAGAATTGCCTCTTCATACTGGTCCGGTGCAAAGTCACTTCTACTCAGTAATTCTTCTCCCTGGTGGACTTATGATTAAAACGTGAAAACGAGGCTCCGTCCAGGTGAAAGTGTTTACGGCCGGGGAGCATAGCTGCGCAGGTGAAAGTGTTTAGTGCTGGGTAATGCAACCCTATCTTGGCCCCCCGCTTTTGCAGCTGCACATAATTATAGTCTCTTTCTTTCTCTTTTGATTGTTTCCCTATGTACTGTATGCGCATGTTAGCCAGGAAAAGACATATTATAAAGTATGAAGTACAGTGTGCTCTGTTAATCCCTTCCTCTTTAATAACCTCACTGCAGCCATGGCTGTTCTTTTGAAATAGCTAATCAAAAACATATTTCCAATAATATACAACAGTGTGTAATCAAGAGTGCTGGAGCTGATTTGTAAAACTCTGACAATCGTACCTAAAATAAAGCTTAAAATTGATTGAATTAATCCGAAACATTCTGTCAAAGCTTAGAAAATAAGTATTTAAAAGATATATTTCCAAACTACGCCTTTTAATTCTTCAGTGTTTGATTCAGTTCTGCTTCCTGACGGTGTGTGTACAGTATACACAGATCCTTGTGTATACCAGAGGGTGGAGGGTCAGGAAGGGGGTGCTTCCATCAACCTCCAGCCTGTGGCTTTCTTGCTGCCTAATTAACCATCATTTTACCCAGAGCCTGAGCTGCTCTGATGGGGGATAAGCTAGCCTTTGACGGGGGAAGGCAAGCGTGGCGGTTCCTAATCAGGGGGCCTGCAAGTGGGGCGGAAAACACCTGTTCTGGGTACAGGTGTACACCCCGGCACATGGCTGCACTCTTTTGCTCCGTTTCCCACTTCCTCCCCCCTGCTTCTTTCTCATCTTCTCTCTTTACATGATTTCTGTCTCACATTCCTGCACTGTAGGACTCTTTTGTATTTGTTTCAGCTGCTTACATGTACGCAGTAGCCTGGTTTTTGGTCAAGTAAATAAACCTTCCCGAAAACAGGGTTCTAAAACAGCTCTTGGTGATAAGTGTCTGGATCTTTGAACCTATTTTGTGGCATATTTCTTAACCTCGTTGAAGCTTACTTTACACAACTTCATGTTGGGATATTGCAGTAGTTTTCTTAATAGAAGAATCATAAGCATTGTCGACAATCACAGTTAATAGGTTATGTATATCGGTCCTAAAATAAGAGAGAAACTGTTTCTGCACGTAGTCAAAAGGATCAAGACATAAGTTCATTCCTCTTTACATAGGATTGTTGAAAGGTCCTCTGGGAAATGTAGTCAAAACCCACTTGGTTGTCCTGGCTTTATTTTGTATCTCTTAATCATCTAGTGACCCCTTATTTGTATCTTCTTGGAGGCGTCTTCTCAGGTTAAGAGCCACTGCATAAAGCAATCGCAAGTTATGAAATAAATAAAAACAACATATGAAGAATATAAACATAACATTAAGGACCACAGAATCAGACCTGTTGCAATTATCAGGGTCAATAATGCTTGCTGAAAAGTATGGCCAATATTGATCCATTGTTTCAGCAGTGATGGTCAAGCTGTAATGACATCCAATCAGCAACAAGGTCTCCTGCTTGTAGGGCTTTGGTAATGTTCTGTTTATTACTTGTACAATACAGCTTTTCTTGAATAAGTCTGAAGAATATAAGCGAGTAATGTAAGTTGTGATGCTCCTGATGTATTTGGGGTCCCGATGACATGGCATTAGTATTCTCAGAGAAGGTGTATTTCTGCACGTCTGCACAGTCTCTCCCTTCCTTCCTGAATTTCCTTCCTCTCCTCTTTTGTCTTCATTGGAAACAGCCTGCATCTTGCTTTTCACTGAAGGAAGCAGTGCATGGATAATATGGTTACGCCGTTACTGATGCATAAAGCTGCGTGTCTGGTTCTTGTCAAGACCTTGCCACCAAAGTCAATTTGCTCGTGCCCTGGCAGAATGTAATATTTCTTTAATCAGATCAACACGGAAATTACGTTGGTGGACTGTATTGATACGAGAGGAAATAATTAAACTCGGAGCTCCAGGAATAATTTCACCCTCTGAGCATTACTGTAAACCCTATAAAAAATAAAAAATCCGCCCTCTCCTCCCTCCTTTGCAGGATGAGATAAAGAGGAAACCAGGAACGTAGATAGACGGATGAGATTTCATTTACCCAGCCTCTGTTTTTCCTCCAGCCTTTCAGCAGGTTCCGTGTGCGACATAACGTCTGAAATACGCTCTGAGTTTCTGCAGCTAAATGTGCTGTTTAGGGTAAAACTAAAGAATGCTAAATACACTTCAAAATTTGTGATACACGTCTTTCATTTTGGTAATTATTCTCTGTGCCAGGGGACATAGAAATCTAATGGAAGTTGCATCTCTGTGTAGAGTATCAATAAGCCTGTTGCTGCGTCTTCATTATTGTCCCCACCCTGTGTAAGGTTGTTAAATGAGACACTCAAATGAGCCAGACCTCTCTAATGGCTCTTATTGAATTTCCTCAGCCCCACCTGGATTACCACCACCGTTTCCCTTACCCATCATGCCTTTCTCCCTGGATAACACCAGGAGGGATGTGCCATCAACGGCACAAAACCCTTTAAATGCCTTCAGCAAGGTCATTCATAAGATTATTCTAACATAGAAATAGCTTCCATGAGTTACAGGAAAAGGCACCGATATAAATTCATTCCGGAAAGACCATAAATGTGGATTTGTATTAAATTGGTGAAAAATCTTTCAAATGTATTAATCTAACTCGAGCTGTTTTAGATGACATACACCTTTTTTTTTTAACGCTTATCAAAAGATTAGTACCATTTCTAACAAAATGCTTATTAAACGTTTTCCATATGACATTTTTTACACTGCATATTTGTGAATAACTTTGATACAAATACTCAGTTTCCTAAGTGTTATGACATTTTTATTTAAAGAATATATATATATATATACATTTATATATAGTTTGCGAAGAAAAACGTAAAAAAAAGTTATTATAGCAAATATTAAAGGTCCCATCATGGCCATTTCTACTGATCATAATTCCATTGTTGAGGTAGACTAGAATAGATTTATATTGTGCAATCTTCCAAACTCACATTGGTTTCTCATACAGCATCTCTGTATAGTATGTGTATTCACTCTCTGTCCTAAACGGCTTGTTGGAGCTCCTGCCCCCCCTCCCTGTGAGCCCAGTGGCCGCCTGCGAGACAGCGAGACACAGCGAAACCCAGCCCGAAACACACACACACCCGCAGCCTGGCTGGGAGTTTGTGTGTGTGCCCAGGCTGAGTTCCGCGGTGTCTCGCTGTCTCGCCAACCCCACACCAGTGAGCCAGCTCACAGTGCCCCGCTCCTTGCAGCAGCGAGCCTCGCAACGTCCTGCCGAGGATGTGTGTGTGAGGAAGTCCGCGGATTGGTCCAAACGTAACGGCTCCACGGACGTAACGGCTCCACGGACGTAACGGCTCCACGGACGTAACGTAACGGCTCCGCGGATTGGTCCATTTGGACGTTACGTCACTATACCCAAATACGTCACTGTACCCAGGAAGAAAAAGAGAAATCTCCAACGAGGCGTTCAGGGGCAGCATAG